AGATCACGGCACTACCCTCGAGGCAATTCTACTGCCGTCATACCTGCTGGGTACTTCTCTACAGCACCTTGGATATAAGCTCACAAATCAAGACATCAACAGCCAGAAGAGAAAATACGTTTTGTGATTATCAAAAATATTGACTGACATTACACCAAGAACGGTTTCGGTGAATATTTTAATGGAATATTGTGCAGTAAAGTGGATTCAGCTTTGCGAGTGTTAAGTGCAGCTACAACAGTGCAACATGAAAACAGACGAGAAGAATAACAACAGTCCTCTGCGTTTGGCTGTGTTGGGCAGTAACCAGGTGGGCAAATCAGCGCTCACTGTCCGCTACCTCACTAAGAGATTCATCGGTGAATACAGATCAGACACAGGTAAGAAATTACATCACATTTATTTCAAGAGTAACAATAACATATATTGGGAGTTTCTGTTGCTTAATCAATTATGTTAAATGTATTTTGTAATGGTAATGAGTTAATCTGTACATGTATTTAATGCTCGCATAACAGTGTTTACTGTTGCTGATGTTGGCACATTCTTCTGATTACAGATATGCTGTACAAGTGTGTGCTGCAGGTTGACGGGGCGCCTCAGCCAGTGGAGATTATGGACACTTGGGCCAGCTGTGACGAGTCTTCTGACGCCCACCTACAGTGGGCTGAGGCCTTTGTTGTGGTCTACGCTATCACAGATAAAGAATCCTACAGATGGGCCGCCAACACACTCCAGGTAACTGTCCCACACTTTGTCTCAGTCCTGAGTTGGTCATAAGAACGATGGTGGCTGGTGGTTAAGCTTCAGCTATACAATGGATGGAATTATCGTTTCTGTATTCTTGCTCTTGTACGATATGTAGATTGTTTACACCTTTTACCAATGGATTACTAAATTCAGAGTTTTATTTCTCTTCAGGAACTGTCTGTGCGGCGGTCGTCAGCCAGTGTACTGATGCTGGGAAACAAGAGTGACTTGGGCCACCTGCGAGAGGTAGAAGAGGTGGAGGCCAGGACGCTAGCTCTCACTCATGCTGCCCGCTTCACCGAGGTCTCTACGGCTGAGAGTTGCGTACCTGTAGCAGATGCCCTCGATAGTTTTCTGAAAGAAGTGAAGGCACAGCGTGGTAGCAGCAACAATGGAAACATCCTAGGTAATGGATCTCCTAAGCAAAGGAAGCTCTCCGTTACTCGGATGCTGGGATCTCTGATTGGTCGCCACTCCCCGCCTCCTCAGCCCATAACTGAACTTATCGTTTTGGACAAGGGAGAACGTAGCAAGTTGGTCAGATGTAGCAGACAAATCTGATTGTAAATCAGATAGTATTCAGCTTCACACGAGGACATTCTTCTCTCATGAACACGACCCAAAGATTACTAGTGAAATCCTCAATGTGCCCTTACGTTTTATCTAATGGTGAGGATTCTAAATAGCCAAATATTTATTACTGGATGTTGTGTATTGTGTTTCCGTTGTGATATTTCTTTATTATTTAAAAAGCAGCATAACCTTACGAAGGTCGATGTTGACATTGGAATCTTTTCTACTGCAAAATTGTCAAAGCTTGTTGAAACGCAACACATGTGTATATTCTGGAAATGTACGAAATTATGTGGAAATGCTCAAGTTCCAATGTTGGCAGTCTTTGATATATACGTGCTGGCAACGTTTGAAGCAGAAGTATTGGCAATCTTGTGTAAAGCTCGTGAAACTGGATGAAGAGAATTGTGAATATAGCAATGTCACTTACAGATCAGGTGAAGTCAGAACTAACATGAACGTTTGGAAGGAATCATTGATTCCGACGCTTCGGTGTAGAGAGTTATAAACTTCTCAGGTTATACCGATATTTGGGACTTTAAGAGAAGAAAGCACTTTGGAGAGGAAAGCAAAGGCATCGAACGTCAGTGCACTAGAAATTCTAGTTCATAGCCTTCATTACTGAATGAATCGTTACGGCTAAATGAATCACCAAGACTGAGACACCCGGCTTTTAAAATCAGTTGAGACATATTGGTTTTCAAGTCCGAAACACCAGGTGGAGATACACTGTCTTTTAAAATTGACGAAGATGAGATAGATTCCTTGTTTTTCAATTCTGACGAAAACAACTGAGTCTTCAAAACTAATGGATACCACTAGCTATTCAAGACCAGTAGGAGAAACTCGGCTCCTAGAAGATGAAAAGTGTGTGAACTGGCGAAGATGCACTCATCCTGCATTTAGTTATGGAAACGCTAGAGCACTCACTGTTGAGGTTGCACTGGATGTTCATGACCAATATAAAGTCACCCAGCTACGACAGGAACCTGAATGAGCTCCGACCTTCTGTTGCTGCCGTTTGTTTCTATAATGTCCTGCTCAGTCTGTGATACTAGTCTTAGTAAGCTTATGACATATGTATTTTTATAATTTATTTGGTTCAGTACAAAATGAAATATCTTATCTGTTTTCTTTGCCCACAATATTTTTTTTTTTGACACCCAACCTAATAAAAAAATTGATAATTTTTATATTTTATTATATTTGGTTTTACTTCTCATGGTAAAAAAAAAAAGAATTTAAGAACAAGAATAGATACACATAAAATAAACTGGTTAAAGTTGGCTCCAGATGGAATACTGTCAAGAGAGACGCTGCAAAACGAGCAGTTACTCAAAAAAAGTTTTGCTTTATCAATATTTGTGATGACTAAGAGAGCAAAATGTTGTTCCAAGAAAAGCTTGTTCTGCAACTTGTGTCATCTCTCCACAAACTTATTAAAAGGCAAATAACTGCTAACATTGCTGACTTCAAACGAGAGGCTACTACAATTAGTATATAATTCTAATAACTGCTACTGCCAGCATCAAATTCTAATCACTACTGTTACCATAAAGTAATAACAAATAACCACTAAAGCTGACTTACATTTCTAATTAGTGGAATAAATCACAATAACATTTTAAAAGAGGAAGAAACAAAACAAAATAAAGAAAGATGTAAGCCATGAACACACAACATTACTACGACCACATACCCTAAGAACACACAACATTACTGCGACCACATACCCCGAGAACACACAGACAGACAAACAGACACACACACACACACACACTCACTTGGCCAACACCAGACTACTGGTTAATAATGGCACTCCACATAAAGCAGCCTGGTGCTTCTTGCTTACATTATTCATGCCAGCCTCGGACAAGAAGCCAGGTGTTCCGTAGTTTACCTGTATAGCAGGTGTTCAGTGATACACCGCTATTTTCTTTGTGTTGTTCAAGAGGCTGGTGTTCATCAAGTGACTGGTGTACATGAAGCGAAATTACTACAATTTTTTTTGTCATACTGGCAGAAAGACTCGTGGAAATATTGGCAATAAAAACAATATTCATTAACAGCGGAAATAAACAGACATTGTAAGAGAATATTTACATTATTACTAGATATAACAGGCTGAAAAAACAGCATTATTATGCCTCAATTTTATCTCATGAGAAACTGCTCATAAGGTGACGAAAAGCCTGGATGTGAGTATATACAGTCAAGTGAAAACCAAAGTTTGTGTAAACGGAATTAGAGTAAGTTATTATTATAATCACAGGGAAGAGCTAAACTCGTAGGATTATACAGCGAATGTGGGGGGGATGGAAGGTATTCACGTTCAATTCAGGGAACTGGAGCACAGATCCAATTCCCTAGATCAAGAGCCCCTCACCAGCGTCAAGGAACCTTCCTTGAGGGGAATTAGAGTAAGAAATAGGGAACTGCTCGATACGAAATAAATCCTCATATATGAGAAGTACGGCACAACAAATTTCGAAAATAATGTAAAAAATGTTGGAAACGACAACATGGATACAGTTTCACATATTGGCAGAAACAGAAGTACAAGAAAAAAAAAGAGACACTATAGAGAATAAAAAAAATATCGTGGCTGGAACAATTCAACAAAAGCTCCGCACCTAAAACATAAACCTCATGACGACGTTTTAGTCTAGGACTGACCGAAACGTCGTCATACTGTTCCTCTACTAAATGCGGATTTTTGGAGAGCACGGACCATAGGCTCAGATAAATAATGAAACAAGTGATAAGGAAAATACAAAAATATAAAGCACACAAACCAGTCACTCGCATAACAATGTAAAAAACTCCCAATAAAAGGGAGGGAAAACAAAAATACTGAGAAAACGAAAAGGAGAGAACAAAACAGAAAGAAACATCGACACAATGCCTAACCCTTCTAGGGTAGGGTAGGTGCCTGAGTCAGAGCTTACAGCTCACAAGACTGTCATTCCCATTAGTCCCCTTGGGGCGGGGATGGCAGACCAGAGAGGCCTAGCTTGTGGCTAGGCCTGGGGACAGTTGGTCCCAAAGATGAGGAGGTACTTGTGCCTCCTCCCATGGGAGACCTAGGTCTAAGTCACTCCCTAAAGAGGGAGCCAAAGCCGGGCCACCACTTGGAAAAGGCCCGGGCCGGGAGAATACCGGTGAATCTTTAATAATAATAACAGAAACATTATCGACACCATGCCTAACTCTTCTAGGGTAGGGTAGGTGCCTGAGCCAGAGCTTGCAGCTCACAAGACTGTCATTCCCATTAATCCCATTGGGGCGGGGATGGCGGACCAGAGAGGCCTAGCTTCTCCCTACGAGCCCCTTGAGGGCAGGGGATGTGGCTAGGCTTGGGGACAGCTGGTCCCGAAGATGAGGGGGTACTTGTGCCTCCTCCCATGGGAGATTTAGGTCTCAGCAACTATCACTCTGGCTGTACCCTTATCCTGAACATCCCCCCCCACCCCACTTTCATCTGAGATCATACATTTACCAGGTTTGGACTCTCGGGAGTATGGAACTCATTCGCTTCAGCCATAATGATGTCGCATCGAGATAACGTCAGATTGATCAATGAAAAATGCTGGCCCACATGATGGGGACCCTCACAACTTCATCCTGTTTCCTCCTACTTGTATGTCTCTTAAATACTCAATAAAAATACTTTTCAATTGAGATGATGCTACGGTAACAGCTCTTAGCTTGTCAATAAAAGTTAGGAAATCCTTATCCTGTAATTAGCCTTGTCAAATAAAGACTAGGCGCATCCTTTAACCTTGTCAAAAACCATGTGTAAAAAAAAAAAAAAAAAAACAAAAAAAAAAATAAAAAAAAAAAAAAGAAAAATGAGAGAGAGAAGAGAGACGAGAGAGAGAGCTGGAGTCGGAGAGAGAGGAGAGAGAGAGAGAAGAGTGAGAGCAGAGGAGAGAGAGGAGAGAGTGGTGACCCAGGTGCGAAATAAGCAGCAGAGGGAGGTGCATTTCCTTCCTTAAATCACTTGGACCAGAAAAGGCTGTTGGGCAGACAAGTTGAGCCCAGATTGTTGAGATGATGTTGCAGGCACCAGCTAGCCAGCACCTCTAACTCGCATCTTTCAGCACTGCCCTTAGTACAGTGTTAAACTGGTGGCCTCTCCATGGAATAAAAGAGGCAAAGGTAGTCCCTGTCACAAAAAGAAGAGCAGAGCAGAAATACAGCAACTACAGGACCAGTGTTCACTCCTGTTCAATCACTGGTTAAGATCCTTGAGACATACATCTCAAAGACAAATGGGAATGAGTTTTTTGCACTACCACTCACTACTTTGTGATCGTCAATATGGCTATCGGGATAAGGATTTACTCTGCTGCTGATCTGTTGTTAAACTCTCCACTAAGTGGACCACCAGTCACGGATGAAATCCAAAGTCAGCTGTGTGGTAGACACGGGACATTGCTGGCCGCTTTCGAACCGGGTCTGTGGCCACCAGGGCCCTCTTAGCAAAAACTTTCAAGCACTGGAGGAATTTGCAGGCTCTACGCTATGTTCCTCAGTGATTACCTTCATGGTAGATTCTCTAAGTGTTATAGTCCTCAATGGAAACGCCGGAATCAGCAAGGCATCCTATTGGAGGCAAGCGCTTCCACAAGCGAAGTGTGCTGGGTCCACTGTTATGGAATGTCTAACTTCAACGACCTTCTTCATCTCATCCCAGAATCAACATGCATATGCAGACGGACTGTACACCGACATTCCACTTATTCAAAGAGAGAAATGCCAGTGCTCTAAGCTAACTTCATTCACCAGTGAGAGCTTTATCAGCTTGGGGGCGAAATAGTATGGCAAGTTACATTTGCACCTTTGGAAAAAAACTGCCAAATGGATGTTCGTCTCTAGGCCACCATGATGGTTAATTGCTGGCGCAGAGTCAGTAAGGATGAATGCGGGACGATGTTGGCACCTGGAGAAGAAGGATGATATCCTTGGGTGGAAAATTGACTCGATAACTAACAATGATGAACCCATGTTGTAAAATCTTGCAAACAAGGCAGCCAGAAGCCTTACAGCCACTTCGCGTAGCTCGCATTCTGCTTGACAGTAGGGGTTGCCAAGGCATCTTGTACGAGGCACAAGTACGCTCAAACCTGAGTATGCCTCCAACTTTCTTGGTTTGCCTCTCGGCCACCCCTCTCATCTGCCGACTGCCTTGGACAGAGTAGAGAACAGAGGCAGACCGGGTCTCATCTCTCGCCCTGGATCCCATCCTGGATAGATCTGTCATTCAGCTGAGCCCTTCAACATAGGGGGATCGTGGGTGGCCTTCTACTGTTATTGTACAAGGCCAAATATAATGTCAAAAATACCACAAATTGGATCCACTTCGAGGACAAGCGTGTGAAACAAGCTTTTATGCCACAAGGACGGGCAGAAGAAAGCAGCCAACTTCACTCTGGATGTACCCTTCTCCAGAACATCACTCCATCTTAGATCTTACTTACCCAGGATGATCGAGTATGGATAAAAATTCGTTACAGCATAAATGATGTCAAAAGAGATAACGTCAGTTGATTCAAATGAAAATGCTGGCCCACAGATGGCCCTCCAACTTTCATCCTGTTACATACTTGTAGGTCTCATAACAAAAATGCTTTCAAAATTGAGCTATGTAGGTATCCAGCTCTTAGCTTGCCAATAAAGTTAGGGAATCCTTAACCTGTAAATAGCTGTCAAAAAGCTAGGTATCCCTTAACTTGTCAAAAACCACCTGTAAAAAAAAAAAAAAAAAAAAAAAAAACAAAAAAAAAAAAAATAGGAAGAGAGAGAGAGAGGAGGAGGGAGAAGAGAAGAGGAGAGAGAGTTAAGGAGGTAGAGAGAGAGGAGAGAGAGAGAGAAGAGGAGAGGTGAGGGAGAGAGTGAGAGAGAGAAGGAGATGACGATGAGAGAGGAGACAAGAGAGAGAGAGAGATAGAGAGAGAGAGAGTGGGCGAGAGAGGTGCGAGCGATCGGTGGAAGACGACGAGCACGAGGAGAGGAGAGAGAAGACGGAGGGGAGAGAGAGAGGGAGAGAGGACCATCTCTACTTGTAGTATCAATGAGAAAGCGGAGGACACTCTTTGCCCTGAACAACTTTGCTAACT